GTTATAAAATATTCAATGAATTCATAATCCGTTGACCTTTAGAAGTACTAAATTAAATAAAGACGGTTTCATTGTTTGGCATCACTTAAGCGAACATTTGAAAAATCACGAAAAAAGTAAATTTCATTTTCAAAATGTATGTTTCTGGTCAGATTTATCAGAAAGATTTAAAGTTAATCAAACCATAGATTCCGAGATGCAAAATTTATTAAACAGTGAAACTAAACAATGGTGCAGTGTCATTGAAAGAATAATTTATAGAATTCTGTTTTTGGCTGAACAAAACTTGTTTTTTTTTTGTAGTCCTAGTAACAATTATATATATATATAAAAAGGGGAAAGGAAATCGAAAATTTTTAAAAATATACAAAAATGATAGCAAGATTTGACCCAGTCATGCCTATACATATTAAGAGATCTCAGAACAATATGCCACTTTATATTGGAGATAAAATTTAAAACGAAACGATTAAATTAAAGGTGAATAATATAAGAAATTATATTTTAAATTAAGTTAATAAAATGCAAAGTATTTTTCTATATTACTTAGTTGCACTCCCGATGTGAGCCACCAGTAGCAAATTTCTTTTTGCATAAGAAATGTTAATTTAAAAACCAATTAATTTAGTGTCTAAGAATGTTTTTTGATATTCCGTCCTGTACGTGATACAGTAGGTGAAGGTTTAATCAACGTTTTATTAAAAACTTTAGAAAATTATGATTTAGATATTTATATGCGCGGAAAAGGATACGCCAATGGTTCAAATACAGTGTCATCAGCGAATAAGCCCTGATTTCAAAATTAAATATCTCTACAACAAAGATCGATAGAATTATGAGAAACTTACGTTATTAGCAACTGTAAAAATGGTGACAAAAAGTTAGAAAATTAGTTACGTTAACAGATGGCGCTATGCGCTGAGACTCTCTAACGGAGTCTAAAAACCAATGAAGGTAGCGGAGTGACGGGATGTTTCGATACGCAAGTGTCTTTCAATGCGTCCCACAGAAAGAAGTCACAAGGTCTCAGATCGGGGAATATGGAGGCCAAGCAATTCCTCTGTCAGTAAACTGCTGATAATCTGAAGCAATTGCTCTATTCCCAAAGTATTCATGAAGAAAACGAAAAACTTTATCTGTTCGATGTGGTCGAAGCCTCCATCTTGCATAAACTAATCGATACCTGGTCGATCCTCCAACGCTAGTTGAGTGCTGACAAACTTGTTCCAAAATAGTAACGTAACGTTCAATAGTTATCGTTTCTCGTCATACGAAAAAGGATCCAGATAATGCCTCTTGGCGCATAGCCGCAAGCCCATGCAGTAACTTAAGGTGAATATCCGCAGTGCTATTCTCTTCACACAAATGAGGAATTTTCAGGAACCCCAAAATTCTCCAGTTTTGTTTATTAATGAATTTCCATTCAAATGAAAATGTGCCTCATCTGTGAATCCAAATGCAGCTCACATCAAATCTGTCATTGTCGATGTCATTGTTAGAATCTGATTCGCAAAGTCAACCCTTTGTTGCACATCTTTTATGGTGACTTTGGATTTTGTATGGAAACAGTTGTAGGCTATTTTTTCATATTTTTTGTGGCTCGTGTACTTCAAACCTGTCTCTGATGCAATCCGTCGATGCTTTTCTAGAGTTTTGCTGACATTCCAGAACTTGACGCATTTTCCGGAGTGACGACAGTTTGCCTATCCAGCTTTCCCTTCCGATCATCCGCCACACAGCCAGTCCGTTCGAATATCGCGAAAGCATGCGAATGGTTTTCGACGGGGCCACTGGAACATGATCGGTTTGAAAAACGAGACTTGTTTGCGTAGGATTGTGTCTAATAGTAAAAATCCAGAACAAAAAAAAAAAAAAAAACAGAAAAACATTTTCAATGAATTATTATTTCCTTTCTACGGTAGCCTTTTCACTAACCAATCGTACTGATCACTTATCCATTATTACCGCGTTATACTGGGCCTAGCCGGTGAATTTGCAGCTTTTTGCCATTGTCTTCTATATGGCAGTGACCTAAGAACATCAGCAAAAGGTGTCACAGAAACAAGATGTGATAAATAAAGAGTTTTGCTAATAAACGTGCAGTTTACCACATAATTCTATCGATCTTTGTTGTAGAGATATTTAATTTTGAAATCAGGGCTTATTCGCTGATCACCCTGTATGAAGAGCGGTACAAAAAAGAATTTTAGACATTTAATTCACGAGCAGTGTTTGTACCTTCCTATAGCCACAGTTTGAACCTTATCATAGGAGAACGCTTTGAAGCCCAGTATCTTTAGTTTAAATTTTTTTTCTCAATGTTCAAGAGCTACATATATTTTTTTTTTCTTTCCCTAGCGTAATCAATCGGTGGTTTGTTTTGAAAAGTAACATTTCAAATTTAACTTTAAAACTTTTGTCAGACAGCCGATAGTTTAGCAGAATTGATGCAATGACCTAAGATTCCAGTTAGGGAAATTTACGATGTTTTTTTATGAAATTTTGTCTGGAAATAATTCTGATAACAATACAAAACATCTGGATACTTCTCTAGTCAAAGATATTAAAAATTATGAGTTTGTATGTATGTTAGTGTTGTATAAGATACTAAGTAAAGTTGATGTTGTTACCAAGATCCTGCGTAGCCCACCAGCGGCCGAGCGGTAAAGTCGCTGAACACGGGTAGTTCGGTCCGAGGTTCGAATCCCGCGAACGGGCTGGCTGCATGGGCGTTTTCGTGGTTTTACCCATGTGTAACGTGTATACGAACCAGTTTCCCTTAGAAAGTCCTCCACGAAGACATCCCTTCCCTTAGGCAGATAGCCCTAGTGTGCTTTGCCGTAATCTCAATAAACCAAACCAAACCAAGATCATGCACACTAAAAAATTCAATACTCACAGGGTTCAATGGCATGCTCGTAGATGCCTAAGAATTAACATCTTACTTGGAAGTAGATGCAAAATTTAAATATCCAGAAATTTTAAGGCCAATTGAGAACCAATTAAAATTCAAAGTCAGTTGTTTTCTTTTTGGAATGCTAGACATTATTTTTTCATCTGTAAATAGAGGATTTGAGCTGTTACCCATTCATTCTGATGTTCTCAATTTTTTTTTTTTTTTTTTTTTTTTTTTTTTAATATTGAGGAATTTGGCAAGTATTCTGACCGAACTCGATTTAATTTTTGTAAAAAACTTGAAGAAGCTTTAACTGACAAAAATCGAAACAAAAACGATGTAGATAGAACAGAACTTTTAAATGAATTACAATTTCTGCAAAATTCCAACAAAAATATGATTTTTTTAGAATAAACAATTACAATAAGTTACTTAACTCACTCCTTCGCAAACATTACGATTGCATTGCGTATGTTGTTAACTATACCAATTTCTGTGGCTAGACCGAGAGGTCATTTTCTAAATTAATAAAGTTAATAAAGGATTACTTATGATCTAGAATGGGCCAGGAAAGGTTACAAAAATCTGGCTATCATTTCTATAGAGTCTGAGCAGGTGATTTAAAGCAGCTGGATACTGAAAATCTTATTAATTAATTTGTCAAAATTAAAATTGAAGTCCAGTTTCTGTAAGACATTTCCTTTGTTTTCCATCATGCATGTCTATTTGTCATTTAAAAATGGGGATTCTAAATGTATTGCATTCGACCTTTTTTTTATTTAATAATTTGGAATAATGTTTTATAACTTTAACACTATTTTGTTTTGTTAGTGTTGTTTCATTGCATAATGAAAATTTTAATAATATTTTCGCTTGTGTACCTATTATTTGTCTCTAAGAACTACATACCAGTACTAACAAGTACAAAGAGTTTGTAATAAATGTCAACTTTGAGCTGGGCAGTGGGCGGTAATTTTGGGTCAATACGCATAAAGGAAAGCCGCCTTTCAGTATTTCGTTCGACGCCGCCGAAGATATTTGGCGCATTCCTGGTACTAGGTATTTAATAAGAAATTAAAAAATTAATTTTGTAAATGCGAAATATTCTTTAAATTTAGCGAATCTTTTTTCTTTAGCACTTTGTGATCTAGGCATGCCTACTATGAATAATAAAAAGCCCACCAGTAGCCGACGGTAAAGTCTTTGAACATTGGTTCGATTCTAGGTGAACAAGCTGGCTGCATGGACGTGTTCCTACTTTACGCCATGTGTAAAGTGGATACGAGCCAGTTTCTCTTGGAAAAACCTCCACAAAGGCATCCCTTGAATCCCTTCCCCCAAAGAACCCTTAAGTGCTTTTACAAAGTCAAATAAGTGAACCATACACACGCACACACACATATGCATATGAATATATAAAAAGCAGTTTCTTATTTGTTATTAACTTTTCATAGTTATAATTAAAATACTGTTTTCATGTTTCATGAAAAGAGTTGTATTAACGTTTTTTGTTTTCATGAATTCATATATTGAAGAAAGTATTTTGGGATTCGAAATAAATGTTGAAGTAATAATTCGATTTTTTTGAGATGCAATCATTAATTATTTAATTACATTAACTTAACTAGTTTCTCTGTGTGATAAAATTTCAGATCTTAAAAGTCTACTATTTGGTTTGATACAGAGAGAACATTTTCTTTTCTCATGATTTGTAGAGTTACTTTCGAAATTTGACTCCACAGGACACATTTTCCAGTTGTTAAATTTACTGATTAAATTTTTATTAATGATTTATTTAATCTCTTTCATCTCAAATTTCTCTTAAGTTATAGAAATTCTGTCTCAGTACATTAATGCTATTAAGACGTCTTGAAGGATACACAAATCCAACAATAAATTTAGGTATTAAAACCGTAAAAAAGCTTTTGCAGCACATTTTTCTCCTAAACAGCGATAAAACGTGTCTACTAGCAGTCTTCCCCACACAAGCTTGCCAACTCTCAGTACACGTAAGCATTCCGAGTTTCGCGAATTCTCCATGGTCTGTGACCAATAGTAAGGAGCCAAATAGGTTGCACTTCGGCCAATCATCTTTCGACACGAGGGTTTGGGCCATTTAATAAACCTCTTCAACCGGCTTGTGGTAGAATTTAACTTCAATCGAGTTAAAACCGAATAATTTCCTGAGTGAAAACGTGTTTGAATCGTCTGTACTTGCCTTGGATTATTTTTACAGTTCTTATCAATTCTAGCTCTTTCGGAAGGTATGTTAATTGTTAAGGTTTGCATATGTTTATGGTTAATACTTTTTTTTTTGTTGTTGTGTAGGTTTATGAAGGTGCTCGTAATAATGTTGGAAATTTAAATTATATGTGGTAAGTTTCTTAAGATGAACGTTGCGTGTCACATGTATAGGAATACGTAGTATTTTCCTCGAATCTGTAAATTCTCGTGAGTAATCTGCTACGTAGTAGGTATAGTAGGTACTCTTAATTTATTATTAAATCCAATTTAATTCTTAACTTGTCGTTTATACTTTATTTCCGAATAAGCTTAGAGATCGTTAAAAATGTGCAGAAAGGTAAAAGAAAACAATGTAAAGTGTAAATGGAGTGGAATCTGTAGCGCTTAGATTACTTTTTCCTTGGTAAATGTAGTTCAAGTGTATGTGTTCGAAATAATAATTCACGTGCGAATTTTTTTATATCTTCCGGTAAAATACTTTTTTTGCGTACTAGGGAAATCTAGCCTGTTGTAAGTTAAGTCTGATTTAGTGATATAAATCTGTAATAATGCTGTAGTTCTGATTGAATCGTAAATTTCGGGTATAATAAATTATATTTTCCATTTTTTAAAAATCAGTTTTGTGAAGGAATGCGGTTTTGCACTAACACTGTGCATTATGCAAAATTATTAGTACTTATTTTCGTTTAAATATCTGAATTTTCCATGTTTGCCTTTCTTCAGTGTTTAAAGTAATCTTGGTCTACATTACAAATTTGTAAGAAGTTCTGTATGTGGTAATGATATTTCAATACAGTTTATATTACAATAAAATGTATAAATACTGTATATTACGATATAACATTTAGTTGATTTATATTCTTTTTACAGTGCTGAGCACCATGAAATTAATAACGAGGTTAGCAGCTTTATTGCTGCTGGTTATATCTTTTGTGTCCTCCAAGACTGAAGAAAAAGATAAGGATAAAGATTCTATTGGTACTGTTATAGGAATTGATTTAGGAACCACTTATTCATGGTAATATACTTTTTTTTACTGTATATATATATGTTGGTTAATATTCAAGAAGTATATTCCTATGTGCATGCATTTTTCAGCGATGGACACTAATCTGCAGAGATGCGACTTAAAAATTTGTAGTTAATTTTAACTCTGTTTATTAGTATTAAAATCTTTACATGTTCTATAACTTAAAATTTTAGAAACATGAAACCTTTTATAATAATGTGAACCATGTTTATAAAACTGGAAAATTGCATTACTGAATTTTTAATAAGTTGAACTTGATGTCAAAATATTGATTTCAAAAACTTAATTTTTAATAATTTACTTTTCTACTTTATTTTGGCATTTTGAAATTTGACTATAATATACATTTAATCTTAATTATAAAGTTAAAGAAAATTATTTAATGTTAAATACTGGAAACAATTTTGTTTTTCATATTAAAGTTCTGACTTTAAGTATGCTAGATTAATAAGCTTTTCTAACATTGATTATGAAATCAGCTTGTTTAGTCTTGCTAAATGCAGCCAGCTGGCTAGATATGCAACATTGGTAATTTCTTCTGACTAGTCTCGTTTAAATGTAAGGGCATGGCCAGGACATCTCACATTTTCTGAAATTTGCTGTTTTCTAAGAACTTTATTTCAAATAACTAGACTTTGTTTATATAACGTGGAGTATTTTTGTAAGCCTGCTGGGAAAATGACTAATTTGTCCTTGTAAAAACATAGCCTTTTTACTTCACACAAGAATGAAGTAAAAAAGCTATTTATGCTTTTACAAGGAAACTAATTTAATATTTACAAGAAAATTGTAACTCTACTCAATCCTTTGAAAATTATCTTAAAATAATATTTAAAATAGATTAATCATATCTTATGGTTACTTTATATAAAGACGGTTAAAGAAAAGTATTATACATTAAAGTTTAACGTAGAAATGTCATTTACTCGTTTTCTACCCTTGCTTTATATTTAATGATGGGGATGTGCTTGCATATTTTTATGAACTGTTGAATTTTAATTTTAGTAATGCTATTTGCAGTTGCATTCTTATTCTGCATTAAATTTGTTTCAATATTTTTAAATTTATATTTTAACTGTAGATCTGTTGACATGTTGGTAAAAATATGTTTACAGGTGGTCCTTGGTGAAAATTGATAATTTTTAGCAGTATGTAGACAGTTTGTTCAATTCTTTGAAATTGCCGCTATATAATGCCAAAATAACAAGTCGAAAGAATCGCACATACTCGGTATCCATGTACACATCGACTTATTTTCACTTAAAAAGTCAAAGGAGCAGTCAGTTCTACACTTGAGCCAAACAAAATATATAATCTCAGTAACCGACATTTTTAAATGAAATAGCATAAAAAGAGAAACTAGTCTTATAGTATCTAAGCACTATGCAAAGGAAATATCCACTTACTTATTGTCCACCTTATTTAGAAATTTCTCTGTCTTCAGTCGGGCCCACCATCGGCCGAGCAGTAAAGTCGCTGAACACTGGTAGTTCGGTCCGAGGTTCGAATCCCGCGAACGGGCTGGCTGCATGGGCGTTTTCGTGGTTTTACCCATGTATAACGTGTATACGAGCCAGTTTCCCTTAGAAAGTCCTCCACGAAAGGCATCCCTCCCCTTAGGCAGATAGCCCTAGTGTGCTTTGCCGTATTCTCAATACACACACACTCTGTCTTCAGTCTGTGGCATAAAAAATTTTTCAATAACATCTCAAAACTTCCTAAAATTATCTGAACTAGAATCTGTACACTGGTGTTGCTACATAAATTCACTCCTCCATAGGGCCGGACCCTTTCTTGAGACGAAGCCATATGCATGATCTTTACGTTCAACCATACGTATTTCCTTCATACAAACAATACACTTACAATGGCTACTAAATAAATCATCATTTACACACCAGTCGATGTTTTTTTTTCCCTTTTGTTCTAAATTGTACAAAAACTTCAAATTAATCTTGCCACATTCAGCCATTTTACCGTGTAAACCACAAAATAAGCAACATACTTCCTAACCAACATTTAACATTCAAACAAGCTCTTGCAAATCACATCGGTCAAATTCGTCAGTCACTCAACCAATTGCATCATAATAGGGTTTCTATAACGTTCAACTACTCTGCTTACCATAAATGAAATAACTTGGTGGTAATACAAGGGCTACCTTTAAATATAGGCTAACCAACGTATATAAGTTGTTCCCTTTCCTTTACTATCAAAACTTCAGATTTATTGTAATAATCGAATAGATTTTTTTATCCGGTCATATTTATATTTCTTGTGGGGGGAATATTTTCTTTTTCAATTGAGAAGGTGTTGCATTGTATAATTTTTAATAATGTCATCTAAATTCAGTTTATTTTTCATTATAAAATTTAGTTTTGTAAAGCATTGTATGGCGTTTTCTTTTAACTTGAATCTGTCGGTAAGATGTACCATTTTCTTCATTGGAAAGTTTCTTCATTGGAAGTATTGGAATGGATATTTTATCTGGATATACTTAGCTTTTTATTCTGGGAAATATAGTATAATTTTTTAATATTGTCGTTTAAATTCAATTTTTGCATAACATTTTGTATCATCCCCCTTGACATGACCATATGTTAAGTTTTAAAACTAATCTATAACTAAATCTGTTCCTATATATTTTAGTTTAAATGCCAGTTAACTAATGTTAGTTGAATATATTTACATTTAGTCGCATAATCCGGCCTTCCGTGTAACGTAGATCAGTGGGCTATATTAAATACATTTTTCTTATAAGATACTTGTAATTTTGTTTCTAGTGTTGGTGTTTTCAAGAATGGCAGAGTAGAAATCATTGCTAATGACCAAGGTAACCGAATCACACCTTCGTATGTTGCTTTCACTGCTGAAGGAGAACGTTTAATTGGAGATGCTGCTAAAAATCAACTGACTTCCAATCCAGAAAACACTGTGTTTGATGCCAAACGACTTATTGGGCGTGAATGGTCTGATCCTACTGTACAAAGAGATATTAAATACTTTCCTTTTAAGGTAATTAAGATTATATTCTCTTTATGTTAATGAGACTGATCATAATTGAAACTGTAAAAAAGCTTTATAATTACAGAATGTTAATGCTTTTAAATATGAAGAAATTCTTTTCTATAAACAAATCGCATAATGCTTCTTTAATTTGATATTTTTTGTTCAATTAAACTTTTACATATTCAAATCTATTGTAATTAAAAACCGATAATCGTATTTAAGTGTATATTCTTTATATAAAATACTATGCAGTTCAGATACTGGGTATTTTTATTGTTATCTTAAATTGTTAATCTGCCCTATAGCTAAATGCTAATTGTAGAAATTTCCAATCATTGAGACTGTAGTTTTACTTTTTATTTTACAAAACAAATTTTATAAAATATTTGAATTGAATGTTCAATTTAACAGCTAATTCATTAACCATTTTGCAATTTATCCTGAATTATTTAACTATTAATCCATCCTTAATCATTAGCCGTGTAATCCTTAATTATTAATTTAACTATCAATATATCCTTAATTATTTAACCCAAGACAAATCAAATATTCGCCCAATTTTAATAGATTTATAGGCAAATGCAAATTAAAATAAATTATTAAAGCACGTTAGTAATAGCATCATAAATCAGTCAAGTAAGGTGATTTATTTTGGTCGACTGGTTCTGGGGACTTTAGTATTAAATACCTGGTTGGAACTTGTATCTAATTTTGTAAAATACCTTATTTTGATAAAGTGATTAACTGTTTTAACAGTTTACAAATGCATCAAGTTATGGTTAATAAAATAGTGAAGAAGCTATAATAATCTTGTGGATAAGATTGACATTAAAACTTTCTGGTCTAAGCAAATGTTGTAATATGATTCAAGAATGGTAGAATAATTTTAACTGAAATTTGTTGATAATTCTTGTGTAAAATTATTCTAAAAAATTTCATTTTTAGAAACATGTTTGCATTACGTTTGAAATTTAAATTAAAAGGAAACATAAATGTTTTGAGATGGACTAGCTTTCTTAATTTTTTCCTTTTATTTTTTAAGCATATAATTTTGAAGAAATTTATATAAAATTTTTCATTTTCATATTTAGTCATTTTTGATATTTCTAATGTACTGCTGGATAAGTATATATAAATTTTATTTCTTTCATAGGTAATTGAAAAAAATAATAAACCTCATATCAAGGTAGCCACAAAAGAAGGTAATAAAGTTTTTGCGCCTGAAGAAATCTCCGCCATGGTCCTTTCTAAAATGAAAGAAACAGCTGAAGCTTATCTTGGCAAGAAGATAGTTAATGCTGTGGTTACTGTTCCTGCTTATTTCAATGATGCTCAAAGGCAAGCTACTAAGGATGCTGGAGTAATTGCCGGCCTGAATGTGATGAGAATAATTAACGAACCCACTGCCGCAGCCATTGCATATGGGTTGGACAAAAAGGAAGGCGAAAAGAACATCCTTGTTTTTGATCTCGGTGGTGGTACCTTCGATGTATCGTTGCTGACCATCGATAATGGTGTCTTTGAAGTAGTTGCTACCAATGGTGATACTCACCTCGGTAATTTGAACTTTGTGCTTGTTCACATTTAACTCTAGTTTAATTTTCAGTGTTATTTCATTAAATAATTAAGTACTCCAATAATTTATATATTTAAATTGACTTTAAAATATTTCCACTTCCAGGTGGGGAAGATTTTGATCAAAGAGTAATGGAGCATTTTATTAAGATATATAAGAAGAAAACTGGCAATGATATCAGAAGTGATAATAGAGCTGTTCAGAAACTTAGGCGAGAAGTTGAAAAAGCAAAGAGGACACTTTCTACTGCTCATCAGGCAAGGATAGAAATAGAATCTTTCTATAAAGGCGAAGATTTCAGTGAAACATTGACAAGAGCCAAGTTTGAAGAATTAAATATGGTATGTTTTTCGTCTACGTAATTGAGTAACATGCTTAAAGCCTTATTATAATTAAAAATAATTTAAGAATTTGTTTGCATTGAAAAATACTTTTTAAATATCTGAACATCTTTAGCATTGCTTAAAATTTTCAAATTTAATTGTGGAATTTGCAGAAATGTGTTAAATTCTATGTAAATTATATTGAGATCAATTTTATTAAATTTTAATTGGTAGTTTAGTAGCCAGAATTATTTTTCTGAGTTTCATGTATACAGAATATTAGAACTGTAGAAAGAAATGTATGTTGGAATTTAAAATTTCTTAGAATGAACATGAATAAATCTTAAAGCATAAACTTCATATACTTGTCTTTCTTATTGAAATTTTTCCTATATCGTATAAATTATGTTCTATATAGTGTTTAGTATTAATTTCTTACATACTTTTATTTGAAATAAAAACGCATAAGAATTTTTTAGAATAAGATAACTCTATACTTTTAGCGTGGAATTCAATATCATTTGTATTATCTGCAATTAGATGCATTTTCAAAAACAACCAACCATAATGAACTCTGGGTAATAAAATATTACAAGTTGCATTAAATAAGAACAAACTAAAATTTAATAAATAACATTTTCTGTCATGAAATGTTGTTTTTAATAGTTAAAAGTGCTGCAAGCTGAAGTATTCATACAGTTCAGATGTATGTAAATTTAAAATAGATCTGTGTAAGTAAATAAATCGGGGTATTTTCATTAATGTTTATAAGATTTTTTTATTATAAATTTGTATATTCTTAAATCTGTTCATTTAGTTTAAGTACATTTTGAAGAATAAAGCTAAATATTTATAAAGCTTCACAATTCAGTTTATTTAATGTGCCTGCCAGGTACAAAATTTAATTTTAAGATTTTATTTTCAGGATTTGTTCCGTTCTACCATGAAGCCCGTACAGAAAGTACTTGAAGATGGTGATCTTCAGAAGAAGGACATCGATGAAATCGTCCTGGTTGGTGGGTCTACTAGAATTCCTAAAATTCAGCAGTTGGTAAAGGAATTCTTCAATGGAAAAGAACCAACTCGAGGAATTAACCCTGATGAAGCTGTAGCATATGGTGCTGCTGTTCAAGCTGGTGTTTTAAGTGGAGATGAAGATACAGGTATGTATTTCATTTATTAAAGTTGCTTTAATACCTTGATTGATTTTCAGGTTTTAAATTTTATCTCAAATTTATATTTTGCAAAATGATTTGGTTATTAAATTATAGATAAGGAGGATTCGGTCTAGCCTGAATTCTGGATTTTAATTTCTCATTTAGATTTCATAAATTGTATGCTCAATGTCATGGTATGGACATGCAATCTTGAAAATTGATTCTAATTCTGAAAGAGGCTTATATAAAATGCTCTGTCTTTCTCCCAGAAAAAACTACCCACCCCTAAAGAGCTGTTTTATCAAATTTTATGTTACGAATCCTGTTTAATTATAATATAGTGAAACAATTACTTTATTGCTTTGATAAAAATTAGCAAATAATTTGCCAAATTTCATTTCAGAAGATGAAAACATTTGTTAGACCAAAGGTCGCTTGTCTGTTATAAAAGGAGGTTGTAATGTTGTGAACTTTTGTTAGTACTGCATTATGTGCTCAACTGTTCTACTAAGTCGTGAATTGGTGATTAATTTTTTGTCAACCTAACGTGTGGGAAAACGTAGCTTAAAAAAAAAAAAAAGGTGGCTCATTGAAAGTTGCAGAAATGATGACAGATGAAACAAAATTAAAAATAAAAGGCACGTACGTAAAGACGGTAAAAATTATCTAAAGTGAACATTCATTATGTAACTTAGTTTTGCAAAACGGTAAATTTCACTCTGCAAACTTCCATAATGACACTTTCTGCCTTCTCAGTTTCAACTTGTGTGTCTGTTTTCAGAGCAAACTGCCATTGCTCTGCATGTATATATCGACCTGGTTTAACAGTTGGAGAATTCTACTTGTTTGGAAAAAAACTATTGCAGTTACCTAAGAATGTTTTATAAACTACTTTGAGCTGCAAGATTTCTATAATATGACATGGGAGATAAATAAAACCTCGCCAAATGGTTAATTTTTTAAATTAAAAAATAACATGAAAATTGGTTTGAACTATATTTTACTTTTTGACAAACAATGCATGCTGTTTAGCTATCTGCTTTAAAATCTCTTGAGTCTTTTTCCATTTCACATATTTTCCCAACTAAATCAATGTGATTATTTCTAAAATACAACTTCATAGGATGGCATTTTTACACTCTACCACTATTACAGGGCAAAGCATCTTATTTTTTAAAAAATGCAATCTTGCTTTTTCATTAGCAGGCAAACTCAAGATTTGCATTATGATTTGTTTCAAGAAAAGCCACAAGCATAACCCTTGAATTTTAAAATTGTGTGCATTTAGTAAGTTGCCTACTTCGGAAATATTGTTTTGCCTGGCGATTCTTGTAACTCCTTGGACCAGCAGCATGGAACACTTGAAAGTATTCTTGAACAGCAACAGCCTAGATGCTGAGAAGACTGAAATATTCTCATTAAATAGAAATACGTATGCAATTTTTATATAAATTCTCAAGGCTATATTGATAAATACTTCAGGGGTAATTTATTGAATAGCTAAACAGCATGCTAAAATTCTTACATTTTATGAATCATTCTCTTCCCACTAGCAGTTCCTTATCTGTTAAGTTTTCCACTTCTTAATATGCTTATTTGGGATCTTAATATTTCAGTGTTCTCAGTCTCTGTTATCCTATGCGTCTGTTGCTAGGCAACCATTCCTCCCTCTCCTTTTCAGAATTAGAAAAGTACATATGTTTAAATTTACATTATTTGTTAATATACAGGGTGTTTATAAATGAATGGTGAAGTTTCAAGAATTAATAAATCGATGTATTACTTTATCTGAGCAAACATTAATAAGCAGTAGCAACTGTAACTTTTTGATGCATTAATCATATTTTGCACTCTTGGTCATGCGACACACATTTACATGGTAATCAAATTCTCCCCGTATTCGATGTAATATGTTTGCCGTGACGCTATGCAGTATATGCTTTATCCGATCAAACTTCAAGTTGCATGGCCACTTGTTGTACATAAAATCTGTCTTTAACTCACAAAGAAAGAAATTTGCATGGTGTTAAATCTGTTGAATAGAGTGGCCAGAGAAAGTTGTTTGCTATTTTAGCACGTTCAGTTCAGTGTTGGTTAAGAACGTAATTAAAAAGCTCTCGTACATTCCTGTGAAAATGGGGTGGAGCACTGTCCAGTTGTAAAATTTATTATAATTGGTGTTCAGGTAGGGTAACAACCAGGTTTCCAGCATGTCTAGAACTGAGTTGCTGACCAGTTTCTTGTTCAAAGAAAAATGGGCCATGCACTTTCTCATGGGTCACCACACAGAAAACAAGCATTAAACTCGTTCTGCACTGAGACCACAGATCTGGACATCTCAAAATGGAACACTTGGAAAATCTTTTTCTGTTGTGTCGTTATCTTGGAAACTGATGTTGCTGCTACGCAGTAAGCATGACATGCAAACAGCAGATTACACATGAGAAACTTGGACAGTTGCCAATGCTTATGGTATAGGTTTTACCGCAGGTAAAGTAATTCATTGATTTATTAATTTTTAAAACTGCACCATTCCTTTATAAATTAAGTAAGAAAAGGTAATGGAAAATGCTGATAAATGGTAAAATTTAAATGGTAAAACTTGAATGAAAGTATCTTTTTATATTCCTAAACTAAATACTTAACTGATAAAAAAGGCTGGCTTGCCCTCTGGAGTTAAGTATCCCTGTAAAATACGAGAAAAGTTAACTATGTGCATCAAAATGGTTTGTACTAAAATTTCAGTATTCATACAGCCTTTTCTGTAATTTAATCCTTTTAATAAAAGAAGTTAAACATAGTAATTATTTTTTAAATGCTGAAAAATTCAAAACTAATTTTGTGAAAAGGTTTATTGAAACATGAAATAGTGTTCAATAAATTGAGAAATATTACAATTTCTGCTTCTCGCTGAAATTGAAAATTTGTATATAAAAGGATAAATAACACACAATATTCTGAATTATTTGAAATTGCATCAATATACTCCAGGTTAGTTTTCAGGATTGTTAAAATGAGGGCAGTTGCCTGTGATATATACATTCACAAAATGCAGTACACAAACGTACGTGAAGAATCAAAGGCACAAAGTGGGAGGGTTATTTTGGAATTGCAATTGGGAAAATACCATATATTCATGGCTTTACTGGAAACTTCAGAATTTTAGGGCCAAATCCTTAGCTACTTTGAAGGATAAATTAATATAGGATTAAATTTTTGAAGGTTTCATAATTAGTATTTAGAATCGATGAAAAATTTTAAGTTATCCTAGCTGAAAGAAAATGGTATTAAAAGCAAATTGTGAAATTTACGTAATTTATAGATTTATACAAATTGCAATTCTGTTTTCTTTAGGTGAACTGGTTCTTCTGGATGTAAACCCTCTGACCCTTGGCATTGAAACTGTTGGAGGTGTAATGACAAAACTGATCCCCAGAAATTCAGTTATTCCAACAAAAAAAGCTCAAATCTTCTCTACTGCATCTGATAATCAGAATACTGTAACAATTAAGGTAATTCTTATTTCTGCAGAATTTGTAAGATAGTCTGTTAGTACTTCTTAATATTTAAAATATATAACAGCATGAATTTCATAGTTAGAAAATGTATTATATAGGTGAAGGTATTGTTTTATGCTGAATTGATAGTTATAGCAATTTTATTACTACATGATATAAAACTGATATTTTACTCTATATTTAAAATAACATGATCATTTTTTTAAATATAGAGTGTAAAATATCAGTTTTTACTTTTGCAGTTTTATTTATTAACAGTGGGAACTAACATTCTGAAGAAATGTTGGTTCATGTTATTAACAGTAACACTGGATAAGCTTTAAGAGCAGATTTATTTCATAATTTAGGCAGTATTATATAGAGTATGTCCTTAAATTCACTAATGGTTAAAATATTAAAGAATTTTTTAAATGAGTTTTCTTGCCAGGCTATTTTAATTGAAAGATTTTTCTAATCTGAAACTTAAATTTATTCTTGATAGTTTTATATTTATAATTTGAATGCTTTAATGCCATTTATTAAATTTATGATTAAAGTAAGATGTGAAAAATTAATTTCATTTCTAATAAAGAATTAATTTTCTTTCATTGTTTATAAAATTGAGAAAATTTTCCTTTGAGATTAAATATTCTGTCTCTTACTTTACCATTTAATGTAGCAATTAATAAATTTTCTACTTCTACTATATACAGTTAATAGAATATTTTACCATTAAACATGCACATTCTCTATTAGGTTTATGAAGGTGAAAGGCCGATGACAAAAGATAACCACATCTTGGGCTCTTTCGATCTAACTGGCATTCCTCCAGCTCCTCGTGGTGTACCTCAGATCGAAGTAACTTTTGAAATAGATGTAAATGGAATCTTGAAGGTCACTGCTGAAGATAAAGGTACTGGTAACAAAGAGAAAATCACAATCACCAACGATCATAATCGTCTGACACCCGAAGACATCGAGAGAATGATCAGAGATGCTGAACAGTTTGCAGAAGATGACAAGAAGGTGAAAGAAAAAGTAGAAGCAAGAAATGAACTGGAATCTTACGTGTATACTCTGAAGAATCAGATTAGTGACAAAGAAAAAATGGGTGGAAAATTGAGTGATGCTGATAAAGAAAAAATAGAAGAAGCTTTGGAAGAAAAAATTAAATGGCTGGAAAGTAATCCTGATGCAGATGCTGAAGAATACAAATCTCAGAAAAAGGAAGTTGAAAGTGTTGTCACTCCAATTGTTTCAAAATTATATGGTGAAGGTGGTCATCCACCACCTCCTTCAGGAGAAGAAGATTTTAAAGATGAATTATAAGACTAATTAATTCCATAATTTCAGTACAAAAAAGATTTGCAGACATTAAGCATCCAAGTAGGATGGACTTGTAAAATTCACTCTCACCCATGAACTTTGACCATCATGTGTAGACTTTCACTCATTTGTATATATTTTTTCACTATTTATACACAAATTGTTCTAATGTTAAGTAGTTGAATAAATTAAGTTTATTTGTATTTTTTCTATTGCCATTTTTTTCAAGGATCGTTTCACTTTTAGAATGTGAGAAAGTTGAAAGGGAATAAAGTAACAGTTAAATGTTTCAAATTTCTGGTGTTATTTAGTAGAAGTAATTAAATTCGTGAGTAACATGGCTTTTTGGATTGTTTAATATTTAAATATTTTAAAGACCAAGTGACTGAAGATCACAAAGTCTGAAGTGTTAGATTTGGCTTCAGTCCCAGGTGAATAGTTGGTTCTTTATGTGTAATATGAAAATGAGTTGCTTTTCCCTAACCCTTTGTCCAGTGATGAGATTTGGTATATGTATTATCTTATTATTTAAAATAATATCCTTTATTTACTTGTATGATTTAACTATTAAAGAATGCAATATTATGAAATTGTAGACCATAAATAAAAATTTAGATAATCTAAGCAGATCCAACAAGCTATGTCACTTGAAAGAATGTTCTCCACAAAGGCATCCTGCCTCTTAGAAGAAAGTCTTTATTTGCTTTGTGACATTCAGATAAACTAATCCAGTTTTTCTTAAATATCCTGAAGATCTTTATGATAAGCTTATTTATAAGTTTTAAAAGTATTTAAATAAGAAATCCATTGGCAGTGATTACTGACATATGAGGCATTCCATACCTGCCAACTTTTACGAATTTTTCGTAATTTTTACGAAAATGCGTTTGTCTTTACGATTTTACGATCGTAATCCATTTTTTACGATTTTTTTCCTTTTTCAAGTGTTTTAGTGATTTTTGTCGAAATTTTAGAATTTTTCGCCATTCAGCGATTTTCGCCAATTGCATAGTGTTTTACCGCCAATACCGACTACTTCGAATCCAGTTTCTCCCCAACTCGCCGCTTAACCAGCCAATCCAATGCGCTGAACTTGTTTTTCCCACTCTTTTCCAAGGTTCTTTAATATACTCTTTTCTTTGTGGGCGCCAGATTATTTTTTTCGCGTTCGCTTCAGCAGCAAGGGAATTACTCAGCGAGCGTGGATTGTTTTATTATGTTTTGTTTGTTTGCACGTGCTACGAATTTTCTTAATACGTCGTTGTTACGAAATGAGTTAAAAAAAAACCGTATTCTCAATATTTTCGGCCTGCCTACAAAGCCAAATTTCCAACAATTAAAGAATCCTTCAAAGGAAATAACTATGCATATTTCAACGTGTGCGTGTGGTGACTTCATAATAAGTCACGGTGGAAGAAGCGACATTGTGAAGCATGTTAAGTCTAAAAAGCATGAAGTTAATGCTTCGGCTTCGACACGTCGAAGAAAGTGGATGATTTTTTTTCAAATTCGGCTACGAATTCGGATGCCGATTCATTTTGGCAGATTATTTGTTTACATGCATTCCTCATCGAACCCACGTGCCGCTAGCGCTGCGATCACGCCGGTCAACTAGACGATGTTTTCCGACTCCAAGATTCTCAGAAATATGCTTGTGCTCGCACGAAAAACATCTTCTATTGTGAACGAAATTGCTTGCGATGCACAAAGTAAAACGATAGCTGCACTCCAGATTCAGATTTCCGGTGTCAATCGATGGCGCAACGACAGCGATTGGAAGCTTTACCCATCCTTGTCACATATTTCTGTTGTTTCTAAGAATGAAACTCTCTTTGCGTCTTCCATTGTTAAATGGAGGCGTACGGGGGAAAATATTGCCTTGGTAATTAGTTGAAACAACTTAACATCCCAATATCAAACTGCATTTCATTTGGTGCAGATAATGCTCTGTCATGGTGGGTGACAAAAGGGTGTAGCCTCTTCCTCAAAAAAGAACAAAATGAATTAATTGTTATTGGATGTCCATCCACTTAATTAATTTGGCAGCAGAAAGCTGCGCTGTAATTCCACCCAGTAATGCTGAGGGAGTGTTGTGAAGAAAAACAAAACTGTTTCGTTCTTAATTTCATCCAAAACTCTAGAAACATTTTAATTGCTAAATGTTATGAGGAAACTAATTGTTACAGGAATTTTCCAAAGAATTTTGGCTAAGCCAAAAAATGCACTCTTATTCATGCAATAATTTTTTTTGTGTAACATAAGTTCTTGTTTTTGTTTCCTAATAAATTTTTTAGTTACACTTAATTGAGATTTACTAATGAAAGTCAATTTTTTTTTTATTTGTATAAATTGTTATATTTTTAATATCAAAGCATGATATTAATTCTTCGTGTTCTTCTGAATTTTTATCTTTAGAGGTTGGCAGGTATGGGCATTCTTTTGTTCATGTTACATATAATGAAATAAGTTAGGCTTGGCTATGCTGAAAAAAAGTATTTACTTTGAGGTTGGTCATGTAAAATTATATTGTAAAATGTTTAAAAAAATGCAGAAATTAAAATTCTTAAAAGACCAAAACAGTTTCCTCATAAATTTAATCATCTATTAAAACCATTTATTAATGGAGTTCTGTAATATTCTAGGTGCATTCTTTTTAATTCATACTTCAAAATTTATCCTTTTATATATTTGTTATGTATTGGGAAAGTTTTTATTGTATAAATCTTAATTTTGCTATTACAGCTTTCATATAAGTAAATAAAATTTATATAACCTAGAATATTCCAAAGGATAACATAGCTTCTTTAAATTGAAATAAGCTTCACATTCATTACTGTAAAATCATGCATATGATTAGAATTTTTATGTGGTTGTAGTTAATTGAAAGACATCAGCGTAACTTGCAGTGTTAATAAAATGGTATAATGAGTACTACAAATAATTCTTTGATTAGAAAACTGAATTTTTTAAGTATCTTACTAGCTTGCCTGAGTTTGGTAAAGGAAATTTTGCATAATCAAGTTGTGAAATTTAAAAATGCAGACTTTTGTTGAAAATAGTTTTGTAATGTGAATATCTTTGAATTGAAATTATATGAAGCTTCATCTAGAACAGTGTTTCTCAAACGCCGGTTCGTAAAATATCCAGCTATCTGTCCAAAATCCAAAGTGTCATCGCCCAACAACCAATATTACAACGGCACCCTACATTACAATAACAATAGTTTACTAGTTTAGGTGTTTTTGCTAGTCAGGGTTTGTATACCTTTCTGCACACAGAAATTAAGTACTTTTAAGGACCTCTGAGCAAATGGGAACTTCATAAATTCAATAAAAAAATATTATCTATACCTAAATTTCACATTTGTCATACCATCCTAAAAATAAAATAGATCCCTAAGTAATATACATTACTAAACATGAATTAAAATAATTAAGTTTGAGAATAAAATAAACTTTATGCAATTTATCAAGTAGCATTAAATATTTTACTTACAATAGTTGGACATATTTCTAAGAAAAGTGACATTTATGTTTTACTAACAGTTAATGTAAATTAACTTAACAGTAACTTTATGTTAATCTTTTTTTTAATGTCTCATTTTTCACATACTTGGTCAGTCTAGAGGTTTAGTAAATAGCAGGTAGATTTTATGTCAAACGACATAGATGAAAATGAGAAGTAAGATCATAATCAGCATGATTCATAATAAAAGACTGAATGTTGTCACTGCTGTTGCTTGTCTAGAGAGACCTGCTGATTAAAACAAGTCTGAAAGGCCTGATGTAGGCACGGTTGAAAGATAGTAAGGCTCTGTTTGATGCAGTTAGTGTTGTAGCTTTGTGTAGAGTTCCAGGGCTTGTAACCTAGTTAATATACTCCAAGGTTCCAAATAGCCATTAAAGCACCAGAGGTGATAAGTTTTGTATTATTTTAAATCTCACTATATGCAAAGAATAAGTTTTACTTGAATTTTTACATTTTTATGTTTTATCTTGTGACCACAGTGAGTATTAATGAAATGTAATAACTTTCTTTAAAAAGATAATTTTTAAGGGTAGGCAGTTATAAATAATTAAATTAGGTAGCTAGATAACCTTAGTCATTATGGATTTACATGGCCACTATTAAATTTTAATTTTTAACAATATTTGTTAAAAAAGCCCTATTAAAATCAAAAACTAATAAACTTTCACAGTTAAAAATACATGCAATTTATGACGTTGATTTTTAAACAATATTAGGATAATTGCACATTAAAAGCTACAAAAATTTATGAGTGTTATTGTTGTTTTGTAACAACAACACTCAAAATATTTATCCATCATTTTAATTTGAAGCCTTCCCAAACATTTTGGGTAGTTTACATCGATTTCCTTTTCTTTAGACATCTTTTTTAACAATTAAGAGATTTGTGTCAATATGCGTTTGCTACTTTGTACATGCTTTATCTCCTAACTTGTCAACCTGTCTACAATGTTCCTATGAGGGTTTACTTGATCTGGTAAAATTTAAATAATCCCAAACCCCCGTCAGACTTGAAGTAAATTATCGCTATGGCTAAAAGTAACTACAATATCAGACAAAGGTTTAAAAACATACGGATTAAAAGGAAGATAAACATGTTAAGAGAAAGATTCTAGTATCGGAAGTAAAATGTTCAAATACAGTCAAAAGTCGTTAATTCGGACACCCATAATCTGGACCTCAAAGCTACCAACTTTCTGCGCATGCGTCGCGTTGATGCATGCGCGTAAGACTTTTACGGCTGCGAATTTGTGTGTGAGCATGCGCATAATACATTTACGCTTGCGCGTTTAATGTATAACGGACGGTATAAGCTAAGCTAAAATTATCTAATTCAGTTAATGTTGCAGATTGCGTTGTTCCTTAATATTCGAATTGGATCCGGCTTATTATTTTTTGCAGACTGTTAAAGCAATTTTGTAAAAGTAAGCTTGAACTTTCGATTATGTCAAATAGAATTTCCGAATATGTAAAGGATCTACAAAGCGAAAGTATGTTTAGAAGTCCATTAAACAAAAGTGGAATTGCTGCAAAAAATGGATAAAGGCATATCCTTTGTTTCTCAAACCATTCCAAAACCTGTTTATCAATTTCACGCTGCTCTGCGGGCCCGGGGAAGGGGGGGGACACTGCGGCGCGCAGTGAATTAAAAGATAATCTGTCAGCACTATCCTTA